ACATACTGTTGCCACTGTATGCCTTTGTAGAAAGAATGCATGTGTGCCAATCAAATGGTCTGCTTTGTTCTGGATGGTACCAAATTTCTTGAGTGTGGTTGAGCAGCACTCATCCAGGTAAGTACAGGGTATTCCATCACACCCCTGACTTATGCCTTGTAGATGGTGGACAGTCAGTGCTGGATTCCTAGCCTCTGGTCTGCCCTTGTAGCCATTATATATTTATATGATTACTCCATTTAGTTTCTTATCAATGGTAACCTCCGGACTATTAATAGTGGGGAATTCAGTGACTGTAATGTCATTAAATATTAAAGGATGGTGATTATCTTCTCTCATGTTGGAAATGGTCATTGCCTAGCACTGTGTGGTGTGAATGTTAATTCCAACTTTTTAGCCCAGCTTGAATATTGTCCAGATTTTGCTGTGGTTGGACACAGACTGCTTCAATATTCGCAAGTGGTGCTGAACATAGTGGAATCATCAACGAACATCCCAACTTCTGACCTTGTGATGGAGGGATGAAGCAGCTCAAGGTGGTTGGGTCTAGAACACCAACCTGAGAGACTCCTGGAGAAATGCCCTGCAGCTGAGATGATTGACCTCCAACAATCACAATTGTCAATTGCACTAGGTACAACACTAATCAGCAGACGGTTCTTCCCTTGATTCCTATTGACTCCACCTTTCCTAGGGTTCCTTGATTCCACATTCAGTAAAAATGGCCTTGATGTCAAGGGCAGTCACTCTTACCTCATCTCTGGAGTTCAGCTCTTTTGTTTATTTGTAAACCAAGGTTGTAATGAGGGCAGTAGCTGAGTGGCCCTGGCAGAATCCAACCTGAGCATCCATGAACAGTTTATTGCTAAGCATGTGCTGCTTGATAGCACTATTAATGACCTCTTTCATTACTTAATTGATGATCAAGGGTAGACTGATTGGATGCTAACTGGATGGGTTGCATTTGCCCTGCTTTTTATGTACAGAACATATCTGGGCAATTTTCCACATTGTCAGGTAGATGCCAGTGTCAGGTGTACTGGAACAGCTTGACTTGGGGTACTGCAAGTTCCGGAGCACAAGTCTTCAGTGCTATTCCCAGAATATTGTCAGGGCCCATAGCCTTTGCAATATCCAGTGCCTCAGCACTTTCTTGATATCAGATGGAGTGAATTCAAATGTCTGAAGACTGGCATCTGAGATGCTGGAGACCTCTGAAAGAGGGTGAAATGCATCATCTATTCTGCAATTCTGGCTGATGATGGTTACAAATGCTTCAGCCTTATCTCTTGCACTGATGTGCTGGGCACTCCCATCACGGACGGTGGGAATACTTGTGAAGCCTTCTCCTCCATCAATTATTTAATTATCTACTATCATTCACAACTGAGGAGCTTAGATCTGATCCATTAATTGTGGGATCACTTAACTCTGACCAACTTGCTGCTTATGCTGTTTGGTATGTAAGCAGTCCTGGTGTAGCATTACCAGGTTGACACCTCAATTTTAGTTACTCCTAGTGCTGCACCTGGCATTCTCCCCCTGCACTGTTCATTGAAGCAGGATTGCTGTTAGCTTGATGGTAAAGGAAGAGAGGGAGTTATGCCAAACCATGAAGTTATAGATTCTGGTCGAATACATTTCTGCTGCTGTTTACAGCACACCGCGCCAGGTCTTGAGCTGCTGCATTTATTCAAAATCTATCCCATTTAATAAAATCATGAGGAGCATGGATTGGGTGAATAGCCCAAGGTCTTTTTGTGGGGCAGGGGCAAGAGTCCAAAACTAGAGGACATAGTTTAAACTGTTTAACGTGAAGGGGAGACCTGAGGGATAATTCTTTCATGCAAAGTGTGCTATGGGTATGGATTGATCTGCCAGAGGAAGTGGTGGAGGTAGGTATAATTATAACATTTAAAAGGCACTTGGATGGGTGTATGAATAGGAAGGCTTTAGAGGGGTATGGACCAAATGCTGGCAAATGGGACTAGGTCAGCTTCTGGTTGGCACAGAAGAGTTGGACCAAAGAGACTGTTTCTGTGCTGTATGACTTTATGGTGGTAATACCAGAACTCTGTCTATTTACAAAACCGAAGATAAAGTATGCCTTGCTAACTGCTTTCTGAACCGTTCCTGCCATCTTCAATAACTTATGGATATATACAAATGCGTACAATCTCTCTGCCCCTACACCCCTTTAAAATTGTAAACTTTATTTTATATTGCCTATCCTTATTCTTTGTATCAAAATGTATGACTTCACATTTCTCTGAATTAAATTTCATCTGCTGCATGCCTGCCCAGTACAAGTCTACGTCTTCTTGAAGTTTATCTTGATACTCCTCCACATTCATAGCATTTTGAAATGTTGCATTATTTGCAAATTTTGAAACAATGCCTGTTGCACCCAAGCCCAAGTCATTAATAAAGATCAAGAAAGCAATGATCCCAGCATCAACTCCAATCTTCTGCCAATCCAAAACAAAAAATCACTTGATCACTTGTGTCTGTTACATGTTGCTCAACTAACATCATATCCAGGTTTCTACTGTCCCTTTTATTCCACAAGATGAGATTCCTTTATGCAGCATTGGAACGTAGCCATAACTACACTTTCTGCTTACAGATCATTGACTCTTTTACTGTGGGACACTACCCTCTGGCGGGCAGAGTCCTTACTGGTTATGCATTCAGCCTATGGTGGAATGGTATGTTAAACACAGACGTGGCTTGGGTCTGGGGCCCTGTGGAAAGGACTGTTGCTATGCTAAAAGGTTTATCAAGAAGCAAACTTGGCCAAAGACAAGGCAAGGGTATCAGAGGGCTCTACTAGTGACTAAGGCAAAGTGGCAAGAAAGCAGTATAACTGGCAGGATATAGAGAGACTAGCAGCAGCCCCTGACTAGACGCTGATGATATCTCATATAATGCAGATGGTGCTGATAAGCCATCAGGGGGCATATTCCAGTGTTCACTGTGGCTAAAGTTCTCTTCCAGGAAAAAAAAACGGGGGCAACCCACATTTGTGTTTGAGATTGGAACGAGAAAAGATTGCAGGCTCAGGCCTGGACACTAAGACTGCGGTGAGGCCATAAGTGAATTCCAAATTTGTATCAGATCTGAAGCCTGCCAAGCTTCAGTAGGACTCCTAGGGGTAATGGTGGGTACAGGATCTCAGCAAATCTCCTGACTGTAACAGGTTAGTTGGAACAGGGATGCAAATGGAGGAACTCCAGGGGACAATAAGGAAAAGTAAAATTAGGTCATATTGTTTGTTAGGTCAGATTGAATCACAGAATTGTTACAGTGCAGGAGGAGGTCTTTCAGCACATTGTGCAGCATCATTTCCTCAAATTAGCATCACAAGCATCTCCTGCTTCTTCTCCATATACCTGCATACCAGTTCTATCCAAATAATCATCCAATGCCTTCTCGATTGTCTCAATTGAATTTGCTTCCACTACATTTCCAGGCAATGAATTCCACAACCTAACTACTCGCTGTGTGAAGACATTTTTTTCACAGTACCCTTGCTTCTTCTGTACATCACTATAAATCTATGCCCTGTCATCCTTGTTCCTTTTATGAGCGGGAACAGCTTCTCCCTATCTATTCCAGTTAGTCCATTCATGATTATGAAAATCTTTATCAAATCTCACCTCAGCTTTGTTCTCTCCTTGGAGAACAGTCCCAACTTCTTCAAACCATCTTCATAACTGAAGTTTCTCATTCCTGGAACCATTCTTCTAAAATCACATTTGCATTTTCTTCAATACATTCACATCTTTCCTATAAAGTGGCACCCAAAACTGTGCACAATACTCTAGCTGAGGTATAACAAGTGTCTTATACAAGTTTAACATCATCTTGCTCTTGTACTCTCTGCCACTATTAATAAAACCATGGATACTGCATGCTTTATTAACTGCTGCCTCATTTGTCCTGCCAGCTTCAATGATCTGTGCACACACACACCCAGATTCCTCTGCTCCTGCACTAATTTAGAATTCTACCTCCTATTTTATATTTTCTTTCAATGTCCTTCATACCAAAGTGTACCACCTCACACTTCTCTCATTGAACTTCATGTACCACCTCTCCATCAACTTGTCAACATCCTTTCGGAGTTCTACACTGTCTTCTTCACAGTTTACAATGCTTTCAAGTTTTGTGTCATCTGCAAACTTTAAAATTATCCCCTGCACACCAAGATCCAGATCGTTAATATGTATCATGAAAAGCAAAGGTCCCAATACAGACTCCGAGGGAACTTCACCACAAACCTTACTCCAGGGCAAAAATTATCCATCGAAGATTATTTTCTGTTTCCTATCACTCAGCCAATTTTGTATCCACATTGCTACTGTCCTTTCCATGATCCATTCCTTTCCTCACAAGTCTGTTGTGTGGTATTGTACAGAACAGAATGTCCCAGGATGAGACCTGATGGTTGGTATGACCTGAAATTCTGAAAGTATGTTACAGAGGAAACAGGAAGTTGAATGCTTTTAATATGTGTTACACAATTTGTATAGTTGAGACAGGGTCTCAGACTTGACCGGCCTGTTCACTTTTATATGTGCTTGAATAAAAATATTTGCAGACTTGAACCCCACAGACTTAACACCAACAAACGTAAATAGATTTCAGTTCTAAATTGATTTGTTTCATCTCTTACTCACAAGCCCCCATTTCGCAAAGGCATTTAGAATTAACTTGCAATTTGAATGATTAAGCAGGCAGGGCAACTGGAGATGTGACTAGTCTGAAGGCTGACCTAGGAGCGGTAGGTCTGCATAACAGACCAGGGAACAAATGAAAGTGAGAGGGGTTCCTGGGACTAAAACGGAGGCAACATTTTAAAGTCACAACTTCAGAATATTGGGGGCGTCACCGAGTTTGCCAGTGGTGGTTTGTGGCATAGTGCTGTTGTATTTGATTTAGTAATTTCAATGTTTAAGAGTAATGGCAGATAACAGAATTATTAAAACAATCAGTACCTCGGTCTCTTTTTTTCTGTTCTTCTGAAGATGTGCTGGGCTTCTTAATTTTCCTTCTGTCGCTGTCTATCCTTCTTTCCATGATAAACCAAAGATAATCACAAATTTTACTAACAAAAAAGGCCCTAGAACAGATCAAAATAATTCTAGTGAGAACATAAAGCACTAATACAATTACATTTCACATGTCCGATTAAGCAGCATACTGAGCTGATTTACACAGGACCCTCAATTGTTCATCTCAGTTGAGAATCTTTGAAGGACTTTTGCTAGTATTTTGAAAGCATTGTTATGATTACTTTCTCCGTTTTCACGACAAAGACTTGCTTTTATCGTAGCATGACTTTAATATGCACTGGGATAGTTTTGAAGTTTATACTGCGGTGTTGAGAATCTGAGCTGGAAGATGTTGTGATTCCTGAAAAGTGCCTCAGCATCACCACCCCAAGTGGACACCAATCCATTTGAGAGAATGGATATGCTCTGGAGTATAGGCCAGGGTCTGGAGGGTTGGCAGGATGTTGGATGTAGGCCGAAGTGGGTGGTGTGGTCTGGAGTGTGGGCAGAGGGTAGGGTGACAAGAGGGAGGGTTTGCCTGGAGTGTGGGCAGGGTTTAGGGAGATTTGTCTGGAGTGGGGGGTTTTTCTGGACGTAGCCGAAGGACGGGGATGGTACAGTCTGGAGTGCAAGCGGAGGGTGGATGGGGAGTATAAGAAGCAGGTGAGGAATGTAGGGAGGGGAGTGGAGAGTTGGCAGGAAGGTGTGGAGTGTGATGTTTGTCTGGAATGGTGGAGGGGGTAAATTCTGGACGTAGCTGCAGTCTAGAGTAGGTAGGTGAGAAGAGGGAGGGTTTGTCTGGAGTGCAGGCAGGGGGTAAGTGAGAAGAGATAGGGTTTGTCTGGAGTATAGGCAGGGGGTAGGTGAGAAGAGATAGGGTTTGTCTGGAGTATAGGCAGGGGGTAGGTGAGAAGAGATAGGGATTGTCTGGAGTATAGGCAGAGGGTGGGCTGTACAAGGGGTTATGGAGTGTAGGCAGGGCGGTATGAGGATATGTAGGGATTGTTTGGAGTGTAGACATGAGGGGGATTCTGAATGTGTCCGGGGAGGTGGTGCAGCCTGGAGCGTAGGGGGTTATGGAGATTGGAGGTGAGTGCAGTGTGGGGCGGTGCAGGTCGGCAGGGGAGAGGGGAACTGGGGGTCTGGGAATGTAGCCTGAGGGTAAGGGCCGGGGTAGTGTTTGTGGTCGGGGGCGGTGTGGGATAGAATGGTGCAGGCCGGCGGCCGGAAGCTGGAGTTTAGGCCCAGGCCCGAGAGCGGGGCCTTCGGCTCGGTTCCGCCGCCAGCGGAGAGCCGGGTAGGGCCCGCTGCTGTCAAACCGGAGCCGGGTGGGAGGGAGGGGGAGAGTGAGCCGTATCCCCATACACCCCACCCCGGGTAGTGTTTCCCTACCGGGAGCCGCGGCTCCTGTTGTCCGGGAGGAAGAATAATCCTCGGCGTCTTCCTCCGTGTAACCGCCCCGTTTACCCTCCGTCTCAGGAAATGACAGGACCGTGTCCCAGCGCCGCTCACACACCGAGCTGCTGGCACCACCTTCGGGAAGGTTTCACTTTCTGTGGGGGTTCGGGGATTGCGAACAGAAATGCAGGTCGGGTTTGTGTATTTATTGACATCGCTCTTCACAACCACAGTACGTGCCTAAAAAGGTGTTTTTTTTTTACAGTCGATGAGGTCCCTCTGAAGTCTTGCCACTGTTGTAAATACAGGAAACACAGCGGCTCAGATTGTACGCAGCGAGTTCCCACAAATAACAATGTGATGCCATCATCTGTTTCTTTTTGTGGAGTAAATATTGACTTCCCTATTGTTCTTTGAAATAATGCTGTGGGATGTTTTTTGCATCCACCTGAGAGGGACATCTGTCACGGTTTTATCCCCTCATCCAGGTTCTTTCGGTACCAGTGTCAGCTTTGAAGGAAGCCTTGAGCCCACAAGCTCGTCCCTGAGATAAAAGACAGCTACCAGCTGAGCGATTGCTGACAAATACACTGAAAGAACATGTATTTTAGACTGAACGTAATACTGCCAATTTAAAAGAGTTGATATAAGATCATTCAAAGATATGACAATAAATACGTGAAAGGAGTGGAAAAGCATAAGATGATTTCTGTGAAGTTTGTCGAGAACTTGTGGATGGTGTTGATTTAATGACTGGTTAGTAACTAGGAGTGGGCTTCAGCTTGATGCTGCACTGTGAAAATGCCAAAAGCAATGCTCTTAGCTATATCTCTATGTACATTTAGCAGGGGCAGAGTATTTATTATTCATTCATGGGATGTGGGCACCCCTGGCTGAGCCAGTGTTTATTGTTCTTATCTAGTTTTCCCTGAAAAAGTGCTGATGAGCTACCTTTTTGAAATGCTGCAGGTAGGTAGATCCAGAATGCCGTTAGGGAGAGAATTCCCAGGCCTTTACTAGTGACACTGAAGAAATGGTAATATGTTTCCAAGTCAGGAAGTTGAATGGCTTGTAGAAAAAATTGCTGGTGCTCGTGCTTCTAGATGGTAGTGGTCAGTGGTTTGGAAGATTTAATCAAAGGATTCTTGGTGATTTTATGCATTGCATTTCGTAAATGGCACACACTGCTGCTTCTGTGCATCAGTTGTGCCAATCAAGTAGGCTGCTTTGTTCTGGACGGTGTTAATCTTCTTCCGTGTTATTGGAGATGGAATCATCTAGCATGTGTGGAGCATTCCATCATTTTCCAACAGTGTGCTTGCAGATGGAGATTAGACGTTGGGGAGTCAGGAGGTAAGTTGCATGCTGCAGTCTTCCTGGCCTCTGACCTGCTTTTGTAGCCATGGTATTTATATGTTGAGTCCAGTTCAGTTTCAGGTCAGTGGTAACCCCCAGGATGTTGATAGAGTTACGATAATAAAAATGGCTTCGAAAGATGACAAGCTGAGTAGCAGAGCTACAACTAAACGACTTGTATTAAAAAAAAGTGCCTTTAAAGTAATAAGCTGTCCAAGGTGCTTCATTGGAGCACTATTAAACAAAATATGTTAATTAAACCACGTGATTAGGGCAGAAGACCAAAAGCTTGGATAGTTCAGCAGCAAAAGGCAATAGGTTTGAGCAATATGTTATTTGTGAGATTTGAATTTGGGTTTTATTATCAAGTTTCTATATTTCAGCTTGGTGGTGTCTTTTCCTGTTAGATGTTTCCATGAGCACATTGTCAAACACCTTTGGTAAAATGCCTCATTGCCAGAAGTTCCAAACATGCACCAAGATGTAGCTTGGCTGATGGTGTAAAGGGGTAACAGATCTTTCATTGACCCCTGCACACTCAGTGCCACTTCATGCAGTCCTCAAAGTAGGTGCAGTGGGGGGAAAAAGAAGATTGCACACCTCCTTCTCAACTGTGCCTTTCCAAACAGTTGTGCAAAAAATTTAGTGATATTTGTTCCTGAACAGCAACAAAAGGCAAGGTTCTGTGCTCAGTGGACTGTTTGCCAGCGATGCATACTGAGACAAATATCAAATGCTGTAGGTGAACCATCAATTTACCTAAAGACATTCTTTAGTCTTCCCAAAACTTGTTGGTCTTCTAGTGCAAAGAGATGAGTGTAACAGAATGGCACATTCCAAGGGGCTGGACTATAAGCTGAGGAATAAATTAAAGCTGTGGACAGCCACTACAGAAGGTTTAATATGGAAAGGTTAGAAAATCTTAGGCTCATTCAGCATAATACAAATATGTTAATTTTCAGAGATAGTAGGAACTGCAGATGCTGGAGAATCCGTGACAACAAGGTGCAGGGCTGGATGAACACAGCAGGCCAAGCAGCATCATAGGAGCAGAAAGGCTGACGTTTCGGGCCTAGACCCTTCATCACATCCACATAAATTGTCCTGTTCAACTGAATGTAATGATGTAAACAAAAACATAAATGCTGGAGAAACAAGCAGATCTGGCAATACCTGTGGAAAGAAAGTAGATTTAACATTTTGAGTCCAGTGAACCTCCTTCAGGACAGGTAAATGATGCAAAGATTGGTTGGTTTTGTTTCTGAGCAGTTTGTGTGAGAGAAGACGTTGCTCAATTCAAGTACAAATATGCTTTGAAGTATTGAGAAAACTAGTTGTTGGATGTTTTTAAATACACCAGGCAACTATTTCAACAATTTATCAGTCTGAAATGTTGACTGTGTTTCTCCATGGGCCTAAGTATTTGCAGCATTTCTTGTTTATACTGTAAATAATTGCTTAGTTCAGATACTGTTTTTTGGGATTATATGTTAATCTTGCCATTTTCAAATAAATAATTTATTTTGCAGTCTTTAAAAAGCTGTCTGACTGGAATCTTAGAAGACTTAAAAAATCTTGTGGGTGAAATTTCTTTGAATCTGTACTCAAAATAAATTAGCTATAATATTAACTGAACTATTTATTATTTTCATACTGTGTGAATTGTTGGCAAAGGTTGAAAACTGTCATCAATTTATACAATGTTTCTGCTGTAACTTGCTAGGGATGGACAATAAATATTGTCTTTGCCAGTTCAATGAGACTGCCAGTGTTGGGAATATAGAGTTAAAGTATTGGCACAGCATTTGGGTTTAGTAGAAACACAAGAGGGACTAGGTACTGAAACGTCAGAATCAGGTGATATTTGGATATGATTGAACATGAAAAAATATTGAAAAAGTTGGAGAGGAAATTTCAAAGAAAAGGACAAAAAGCAGAAAAAGATAAAGAAAGGGAGATGAAATTTAAAAAGAAAACAGAAAATGGAAATTAGAAAGTGAGAATTACAATTGCAAAGGGAAAGAGAAGGCAGGCAGGAAAAAGAAAGAAAGAAAGAAAGAGAGAAACATGAGTTATCAGCTTTCAATAACATTAAAAGAAACATGAGATGCTGATGCAAGGTCTGATAAGGTGAATCTGAGTCATAATCTAAAGTCTGGTAAAAGAATATTTACCTTTGTATAGGCCTTGCCAAAATTTGAGAAAAGGGATGTAGAGTCATTCATTATGTCCTTTGTGAAAATAGCTGACAGTTGAATTTGCCAAAAGGACCCTAGACACTGCACAAACAGAGCAAGTTGAAGAGTAAAGCACTGTTCAAGGAGGTTTTTAGGGATTATTGCACTATTTAATAAAAAAAGCTACAAAGGCTGCGTATGAATGAGTGCCTGAGGCATATAGGCAAAGGTGTTGAAATTTAAGGAAACAGCCTGGACATGAGCTATACTGAATTTAAAAGAGTTAAGTAATTTTGACAGGGGGATACAGACATTAAGATTTTTTTTTCTAATCAACCTGTTCAGAGACGTTATTACACCCATCCAGAACAGGTGAGACTTGTACCTGGGCAGGATCTCTACTCCTGCACCACAATAGGGTGTATGAAGTTCTTAAACAGATTATTCTCTTCAATGAATTTAAAAACTCACTACCTTCCATAATAAGACACATGTTGAGGACTAAAAGGTTCCAATTAGAGTAATAGAGTCATTCAACATGGAAACAGACCCTTTAGTCCAACAAGTCCATGCCGAACATAATCCCAAACTAAACTAGTCCCACCTGCCTGCTGTTGGCCCATATTCCTCCAAACTTTCCTGTTCATGTACTTATGCAAATGTCTTTTAAACATTGTAATTTTACCCACATCCACCACTTCCTCAGGAAGTTCATTCCACACATGAACCAACCTCTGTATAAGAAATTTGCCCCTCAAGACTTTTTTTTAAAATCTCTCTCCTCTCACCTTAAAAATGTGCTCCATAGTAGTGACATCTCCCATTCGAGGGAAAAGATAACTACCATTAAGTCTATCTATACCCCTCATTATTCCAATTGCTAGACAAGCAGCAGTAATGGCTGATGATTATGAGCTAATCTATATGATTAAACCATTTTTCTGTCACCTCGTAAATTTGAAAGGGATAGAAAGTGGTGAGGAGGAGGGGGGGGCCCCCTCTTGTAGCACAGTGGTAGTGTCCCTACCCCTTGACCGGGAGGCCTGTGTTCCAGGTCCTACTTGCTTCAGAGGTATGTAATAACATCCCTGTGCAGGTTGATCAGAAAAATAAGTTAAGCTTTTCAATTTTTGAAAAAGTGGTCAGCTGAAAGAAGTAGCCATAGTAAAAAATGGAAAGCTGGGAATGCCTCAAGATCTCCACCACAGATCAGAAAGGGCAGAACGAAGGGTGAAGGTGAAAGCCAAAGTGTTTCTATTATAACAAAGTAGGTCACGTTTGTTCACAATGAAGTAATCGTGGGACTTATTGGAGTCTGAAAAAGGATCTTGCAAGGAAAAAGCCACAGATCAAATTGTAGCTGTAACCACAAGTGACTGAAGGGAACCATTCAATCACTGAAATGGCCAATTGTTACTCTTTGGTATTGGTACCCAGAATGACAGCCTTTCACCAAGCTTCTTCAAAAATAAACTCATAATACTCTATTATTTCACAAAACATAATCTTAAAGATATGACAAAACTGATTAATATTAAAGATCAAATCTAGATTGTGAACTATATTCCCTTTTAATCACATACACAAACATACATCAGCAGATCTTTGTGCTATAACTTTTTTTTAAAAGAGCAAAAGTGGGGGGGAATACGCTTGTGATCAATAGTCTGCAAACAAAAAATATTGATGAATTCTCACAGCCCACTGGGCTTCTTGTTGAATTTTATTATATTGTTGAATTTAATTGCTGATGGCCATACACTAATGCAAGATCTTTTAAACAAAGCTTCAGTTCAATTGGAAATCAAGGTGAATTCAAGTCTTTGCATGGTTGTCAGTTTAGCTTTTCAGAGTTTGCAAAGTAGTCAAAATACTGAGGTGTTGATTTTATCAGAATCCCAAACTTCAACCAGGAGGAAGAGAGGTCTTGCAGCCTCACTGTTAATTGCTATTGCTTTTTTCTCCTGTGTTTCCTTTCAATTTAAAACAGAAGTCAAATACAGAGTTGCTAGGTGACCAACACCAGAGACCCCATCGTTGCTTCCAAACACAGGATCCAGTAATTAAGAGCACGCAATCCTTTTATTCCAGAAAGTGTCCAAATGTACAATATCATCTTCAGTTTTCCATACACAACACATTTCCAATTATGAGCGACAAATTTA